AGCTGCCAATTTGGCTAAAAAACGCGATGGATGAGGTGAGGAGAAATTGTTGAGCAGTCAATATTTCTCAAATATACAAATATTCAATTAACAGAATAGGGGAACTAGATGATAAAATCTCTGTTGATCGACTCGTGCGAAAATGGCTTTTACTCCGTCAGCACGATCACACAGCACAATAGTAAATAAATAATAAGAAAAGCATAAAAATCTACGTTTTCTTATCGTTAATTCGCAAAAAATTCGATTCAATTTCCCACGGCAATTGTTTTTCGAATGAATTCGATCTTTATATCTGTTGTGTCCGATTTAGATTCAATCTAAATCTTATATGTGGTTGTATGTTGTAATTTCGCATCTATTCTGTTAACGCTAATAAATTGTTTCATAGTTGGGTTTTCTTTTCAGAAAAAGACAGTAACAGATCCTTGAAACATGCAGAAAACTACAGAAAACGCTTAAGAACATATATTAAGCATGTTTATATTATTGTTCAATCTATATAAGATTTAGATTGAATCTAAATCGGATGTCCGATATAGACTGTAATCCAAATCGGACGTCCTCGATAAGTTCAATCTAAATCGGACACAACATATATATATATATAGTTACTTTATTCATGACCTGAGATAAAGTGCGCTAGATTTAAGATTAAAACACATGCATTCATACACATAACACGAAAAGGGCCGATAAAAAGCAACACGATATAATATACCTTAAATACTGTAATAGTACCGCACCCCCATAATGACGGTGCGGCGTGTTGCGTAGTCTAGCTTTGAACGAGTGTTTCTCGACACTGGTTTATGCTACAATGCGCGCTTCGGTATCAAAAAATAGCTGAAATTCAGGGCTATTTTTTGATACCAAAACGCATTTTTTGAAAGTACGGGTGAAAAATGAAATACTAAAAACTTTTGCGACTACGCGACTGTACGAGGGGGGTGGGGAACTATTACAGTATTTACGGTATGTAATAAAATGGGTAGCACAGATAACGTCAAGGATCCACTAGAGCTTTAAGATCAAGATCATCTACAGATAATTGAAAGGCTTCGAGACTATTGGACTCTCTCAAAACTCTGGGGAGTCGATTCCAAATTCTGGCAGTTCTTATTGGAAAAGCGTTATAAACAAACTTATTGGAGGTGACTGGAATTTCTAAAAACCTCTCCTCTCCGAAAGAACCTCTCCTCTCCTTTTACACAAATATCTCAATACATTTTGTTATAAAATTGTTTTTGGTTATAGTTTAATTAAAGAAATCAACTAATAATCTATTGAAAAAGTGGAAATATATGATTTAATGATGAAGAATGAATGATAAAGAAATGAAGAAATGATGAAGAATCATCAGAGAACTCGGGCACACCTCTTCGACAGCACTGTCCTCCCGGCACTCTGCTACGGGACAGAGACCTGGGCCACGATACAGACCGCTGAACGAGCCCTGAGAACGACGCATCGAGCCCTTCAAAGGAACCTCCTCGGGTACAATAGGAAGACGTAGCTCGACCAAGACCTAAGAAGTACGGATATGCGCCAGCTCTCGGGACTCAGAGATCCAGTGGAAGTGATTGAGAGAAAAAGACTCAGATGGGCCGGCCACGTAGCCAGAAGAACAGACGACAGCTGGACGATACGGATCACAGAGTGGCTACCACGAGACCAGAAGAGGCCCATCGGAAGACCAGCAATGAGGTGGAGCACAAGAGTGGCAGAGACGGTCAGAGAAAGGATGGCTAGAGTGCAACCAGCACCAGCAAGTCGAAGACTTCGAACCAGGAACAATCAAGCTAGGAAACACTGGATGAGAATAGCAAGGGATAGAGAAATGTGGAAGCAGGTTGTGATCTGCGCAAATAGGAACACCTGAGTGCGAAAACAGATTAAAAAAAAGAAATGATGAAGAAATGAAGAATGGTGAAGAAATGAAATGATTTATAAATAGTAAATTGAAAACTATTTTGTTGGTAAGATAAAGAAATCGATTTAGTACACGAATTAGGTCTAGAATAGTAAAATGATTTTTTGATTTAAAGCTATAGATAGAAATAGCTTCAAAATCTGACTATGAGTCAAGCTTTGCATTTGATTTCAACCATTCTCATCAAAATAAATCTCCTGCTTTTTAGGTCGCAAGTTTTTTTTCTTATAAGCTTTCCACAACAAATTTCAAAAAAGGAAATAAACTCTCGGTGAATAATAAATCAAAAACTTTTTCCACAAGACTTTTAAGAATAGAAATCTAATCATCATTAAATTATAAGAAAGAGATAAAGGTAGAAGAATGAACGAAGATAATGAATTAAGATAATGAATAAAGATAATGAATTAAGATAATGAATCAACATAATAAATCAAGTTAATCAACCAAAATAATAAAAATCTATTGGGAATAGAATCTAATGAATGACGTGATTGCTAAAAAATGAAGAATATTTGATCAAAATTGTCTTAAAATTTGAAAATTCTTCTTGAGGAACCAAGAAATTAGATTTGAGAACACTTTAGTTCGAAAATCCATACTCTTGAAGCTGTGAGTGACGGGAAAAGACAAAAGAAAGGAAGAGAATTTTAAGGAAAATAGAGAAAAGAGAGAAAGGAGGAAGAAAAATAATAATACTCAATTGATTATAAGTCGAAGAAGGGGGGAATTTCTTGTTGGAGCACAATTTAGAGAGACAAAGGGGCTTTTCAGGTAGAGCTGAGGTTGCCCAGGAGATAGACGTTCCCACCATATCTCACCCAAAATCCCCACAAAACAATCAGATATTTTTGAAAGAAGAGACAAAGGCTTGGCTTAACTTTTGAAAGGTTTTAGATAAGTTTTTTTTGTTATATTCTATCTCTTCAATAGGCAATCCTCTGTCAAATGCTAGGAGATTTTTGGCTTTTAATTGCTTTTCGCATGCTTTCGACTTATTTTCCAAAATCTTAATAAGTATTTCAAGCTCAAACTTCTGTTGGATTAATATTAAGTTATCTTTCTTAACTTCTGGTCGGTTATCTTGGAATTTCCATCAAACAATTTTCATATCAACAAATTTTTGCGAACCCAATCAACTATCAAATTTCTACAGGGTGCGGCATAAGTATGGTTACAAGGTTGTAACATTGATTTAAGAAGCTGATTGATTTTTATTTCTTGCCAAAGGATTATTTTTTCTTAATTTGAATGCTTTTTTATATTATGTAGCAGTTTTTAAGCAAATTTTTAAGTTTGGACATAGTGGCGAAGGCTTCTCCCAACCGTGCAAAAAAGACTCAAGAGTGGTGTCGAAACAATTTGCCCGGCTTCATTCCCGCCAATGAATGGCCAGCTAATTCGCCCGACCTCAATGTTATGGATTTCTGTGTTTGGGCAATTTTGGAGCAAAAAGAATGCACAACAAAACATGCAAAAGTTGAAAGTCTGAAAAAGGCTCTGAAGAAAGCCTGGGCGGAAATTCCACAAAGTACCCTGCGGGCCGCCGTGGAAAGTTATCCAAAGCGTCTTAAAGCCGTTATCAAGAATAAAGGTGCCCATATTGAATAATTTGTTATTTTTTAAATGAATATGATTACTGTTGTTAATTTTAAATAAAGTTTACATGAATCCGTTCATATTTCATTACGATAAACGGTTCTGAGTCTGTAACCATACTTATGCCGCACCCTGTAATGGTTTTCAAAGTAAAGTGTGTTCCTCGCGAGTAAGTAATTACTTGAGTAAAATTGCCTGAGTAATTTTTACTTGATTAATCGACGTTTTTAGTCAAATCACTACGCGTCATCCTCTTTACAAGCCGAGTAAATTGAATATCTTTACTTGTGACGGGAATTTACTACCAAATCAGTTAAACTGCTGAATATCTTTAAAAAGAGTCGTACATACCGTATTTTCTTTAATAGTAGTGCACCCTATTAGAGGGTGCACTACTATTAGAGAAAATTGCTCGAAATCTCGAAAACCGTTTATCAGAACCTATCGATGTGGGTCGGAAAATGTAGCTGACGATGAGATCTAGTGGGGGATTTGAGTGTTGAGCTTCTGCAAAAGCTTGAAAACCGTAAAATAGTCACCAACTCGGCTCGCCGGGGTGCACTACTATTCGAGAGAATACGGTAACCATTAATCGATTGAAAATTTGTTTAGCAAGTTGTTTAGCAAGCAAACCACTCCAAAGAGGAAACCAACGCATTTGAGAAGATCCTAGGGATAATTTTGAATTTGGTATTTAGCTATATTTTCCCTAATAATAGTGAACTTTAAGCTTGCCTAAATTACTCGAAATCTCAAAAGGCCCTTGTCAGAACCTATCGATGTGGCTGACGGAAAATGAAGCTGACGATGAGATCCAGTGGGGGATTAGAGTGTTGAGCTTCTGCCTGGGTCTGAACCTAAGCCTGAGCCTAAGCCTGCGCCTAAGCCTTAATCTAAGCCTGAGCCTAAGCCTGATCTTCGCCTAAAATCCTCGAAATCTCGAGAACGGCTTATCAGAACCTATCGATGTGGGGTCGGAAAATGTAGCTGACGATGAGATCTAGTGGAGGATTTGAGTGTTGAGCTTCTGCAAAAGCTTCTAAACCGTAAAATAGCCATCAACTCGGCTCGGTGCGGTGCAATACTATTAGAGAAAATACGGTAAGTCGTCACTCGTGCTTTTTTGCGCCAATTTTTTGCAATATTTTTCGCTAAAAGTACAGTAATTTTTCCTAAGAGTGCATTTAAAAAAAAAACGCAAAAAACGCAAAAAAACTTCTGAGGAACACACTCTATTTCGAAAGGTTCTTAATCTTCTCTATGATTCTTTCTTTTTAAAAATTGTCCCCTTAAACATCTTCTAAATTCAAATAAAAATATTTTATTTAAATCTGCTCAAATTTTACCGGAAATATTTGGAGCTTGCTTTAAATTTTATCAAAAATTTCTTTAAACGAAGACTTTTTTCATACCTTTCCAATAAAGCTTCATATTTTTGTAAGCATTTATTTATTAATTTGAATTTTTAAGTGTAAAAAAATACATTCTAAAAGGTTTTAGATTCGATTTTGCATTGTACATTGTACAAAAAGCTACATTGTACAAAAATCACCTCTCTTTCCAATCGCCGAACAATAAATGAAATGCTTCGAGCTTTTCGTATCGCCTCGTCTTCGTCAAAGCCGCATTCCATCTCTAGAATTTTTACAGAAATCATTTTTATCTGAGTTTAATTAGTGATAAATTAAGAAAAATTTAGAAACAAACCAGCTTCAGGGGTGTAGAAGATAGCGTTTGCTCCTCCCGACGATCCCGAGCTTAAATGATTCTAAAATTTCTTTAATAGCAAATAAATTTGTTGAATTGAAGTTTAAGGTTTGTTTTAATGTTTTAAATTGTTGAAAAGTGGATGTTTTTTAGGATAATTGGGATATGTGATTGTTCTTTTTGTATTAATAAACATGAAAAGCTTCTGTAAACAGTTATTGCCCAGTAAAGAGTACACAGATCGGTACTCGTTCGCTATACCCCCACAAGGCTTATTGAACAACTAAATTAGCATCAAAATACTGTTTTACATAGTTCAAGTTTAGCTACCCTAAAAACTGTAATAGTACCCCACCCCCATAATCACGGTGCGGAGTGTTGCGTAGTCTAGCTTTGAACGAGTTTTTCTCGAGACTGGTTTATGCTACAATGTGCGCTTTGGTATCAAAAAATAGCTGAAATTCAGGGTTATTTTTTGATACCAAAGACGCTTTTTTTGAAAGTATGGGTGCTTTGAAAAATAGGCAGGCCCGGGATGGGGGTAGGTTCTGCAAGCTCTCTAGAGATGTGTAGCTCAGGCGCATCGCTAACTACTTCCAAATTTTTGCTAAATGGTAGAAATACGGTAGTATCCAGGTTTTAGAGGAGTCCGTTTTTGCAATAACTATCGTAAATACTCTATTAGTAACCCACAAGCATAATAACGGTGCGGAGTCTTGCGTAGTCTAGCTTTGAACCAGTTTTTCTCGACACTGGTTTATTGGTTTATGCTACAATAAGCACTTAGGTATCAAAAAATAGCCCTGAATTTCACCTATTTTTTGATACCAAAGACGCATTTTTTGAAAGTACGGGTGCTTTGAAAAAAATGAAATACTAAAAAACTTTTGCGACTACGCTACTGTACAAGGGGAGTGGGGTACTATTACAGTATTTACGGTATGTTCATTGTAAGCTAGTTTAGAGTTAGTTAGTTCTTTCTTGAACATCTTTAACCCTTGAATCAACAAATAATTATGTTAGTTTGTTTGTATGTTATGTAATTGTTTGTGGTGGTAACCGACAATTATCCACAGGTCTAATAAAGTTATTTTTCTAGTTTAAAAAGCAATAATTCTATTCTATTGAAATTCAGAATAGAAATAGAGTTGTTTGAAAGTTTGAACTTCTGAAATTTGTAAATTAACAAGTCAAAATTTAATAAAGAATCGAATGGTACGATTTTTTTTGTTGATTTTACCTCGTTTCTATTCTGAATTTGTTAAATAATAAGATTAATTTAAAAATCTAATTAGTACAAATGTGAAAGTTGAAAAAGATTCCCTAGAATTTCCCTAGAATCAATGGGAATACAATAAACGGCAAAAAGACATAGCGATTAGTTTTTAGATAAAAAAAACGCACTCTTGCCGTTTCATTGGGTGATTCTGGTTCATCCATTTCATTGATGGAAGAGAGATTGTTGAGAAAAAAAGAGAAAAAGAAGAAATCTCTAAATTTTATGAAAGGATTTCTTTATATAATTGAAAAAATAAAATATTATTGATTGGATTAAGACCAAATTCTAAAGAAAAAAGAAAAAAAGGAGAAAAGAAGATTGTTTTCAGCAAAGAATTAGTGAATTTGACTGGGTACTAATTAAGAAAAGCTGATTCTTTGAGGGTGAAGATTTAGCTTTTTAGTTTCATTCAAAACAAAGTTGTTGTTGAAAAGCTTGAGAGTTATTGCATTTAGGAGGGAGCTACTTTGCGTCAAACTTGCGCCAAACTTTTGCGCAACTGGATCGTTTGCGAAACTTACCATAACTTTCGTGGACCACTTAGACAGTGCATTTGTTGCCCTTGCTGAGATCTACTAAATGACACTAAAAGCATAAAGATTGGTCTACTTAGAAGGAAGTTACGAGTTACGGCGAGTTGCGCAAATGATCCTGTTGCGCAAAAAATTGCGGAAATTAGCCTACCTCTACTGGATTAAGACCAAATTCTAAAGAAAAAAGAAAAAAAAGAGAAAAGAAGATTGTTTTCAGCAAAGAATCAGTGAATTTGACTGGGTACTAATTAAGAAAAGCTGATTCTTTGAGGGTAAAGATTTAGCTTTTTAGTTTCATTCAAAACAAAGTTGTTGTTGAGAAGCTTGAGAGTTATTGCAAGCGGAAGGGAGATCATTTAGGAGGGAACTACTTTGCGCCAAACTTGCGCTAAACTTTTGCGCAACTGGATCGTTTGCGAAACTTGCCATAACTTTCTTTCAAATTGACCAATCTTTATGCTTTTGATATCATTTTGTTGCACTTATTGAGATCTACAAAATGACACTAAAATCATAAATATTGGTCTACTAAGAAGAAAGTTATGGCAAGTTAGGCAAAAAAATTTAGGTAAAGTAGTTATCCCGAAAATTAAGCATTATTATTGTTGGTTTTTTCATAATGGTAGAATAGAAAGTTCAAAAATCAAGGTTGATAATGTAAAGAAGCTGAATTTTCTTCAAAAAAGACCTCAAATATGGAATTTGTTCTGAAATTTGACTTTATAACTTCAAAAAAACTTCAATAACAAACTTTGCACAACATCTATGTGAGTATGAAGTGGATAAGTGTAGGCTGCTTGAGTGAAAAGATGCATTTCAGAGATGTTTCCTCGAGGAAAGTACCTTCGTACTATCTAGAAATAAAGTCAACCTTTGTTAATATCAGGGGTAGGCTAGTTTCCACAACTTTTTTTGCGCAACTGGGTCGTTTGCGAAACTTGCCATAACTTTCTTTCAAGTGGACCAATCTTTATGATGTTGGTATTATATTGTTGCCCTTGTTGAGATCTACAAAATGACAATAAAATCCTAAAGATTGATCTACTTAGAAGAAAGTTATGGCAAGTTGGGCAAAAAATTTGAGATAAAGTAGTTACCCCGATAATTAAGCATTATTATTGTTGGTTTTTTCATAATGGTAGGATAGAAAATTCAAAAACCAAGGTTGATAATGTAAAGAAGCTGAAAACAGCTTAACTTATCAGAAAAATTTGTAAATTTACCTTTTAATCTGTTAGATTTCAAAGTCATTGAACTAACAATAAGCTATGAAGTTAAAGTAATCCTAAGTGAATCTAAAACAGTTTTTAAACTAAATTAAGTCCAATAGTGATTCTGGGAAATAGGCTTAATAAAGTGCTGTTAATTTGAAATATAGTTTTAACGTTGTTATCATTTAGGAAACCTTTGAAAATTAATAATTTGAGTTAGAAATGATTCAAACTCAAACGCAAAATAACTCAAACTCAAAATGACTCAAACACAAGCTAAAACACAAACTCAAATACAAACTCAAACACAAACTCAAACTCAAACTCAAAATGACTCCAACTCAAACGCAAAATGACTCAAACACAAATTCAAACCCAAACTCAAAATGACTCAAGCTCAGACTCAAAATGACTCCAACTCAAACGCAAAATGACTCAAACATAAACTCAAACAGAAACAGAAACAGAAACAGAAACACAAACTCAAAGACAAACTCAAACTCAAACTCAAAATGACTCCAACTCAAACACAAAATGACTCAAACACAAATTCAAACTCAAACTCAAAATGACTCAAACATAAACTCAAACAGAAACACAAACTCAAACAACACCTAAAAACTATTAAACAAAAATAACTGTAACAAAGAATAAATTCCATTTGGAATTCTTGTTTCGACAAAATCAAATCAAAAGTTTCCCTAGAATCAATGGGAATACAATAAAGAGCAAAAAGACATAGCAATTAGTTTTTAGACAAAGTTTTTTAGGAATAAAACATATCAAAACATTTCCAATGAAAAATCAGTGTGAATTACTAATTTCTTTTCTTTTATTTCTATAATTTCTAATTTTTCTTCAAATGCTCACTCAGAAGTCGTAAAATTAGTGGAAAACCGTGTGAAAACGTTGAAATTTTGAAGAAGTTATTGGAAATAGAAAAGGAGCATTTGTAAACTAAAATAAAATTACTAGAGATTTTTCAATTTTTAACTACCGTAAATACTGTAATAGTACCCCACTCCCATAATGACGATGCGGAGTGTTGCGTAGTCTAGCTTTGAACGAGTTTTTCTCGACACTGGTTTATGCTACAATGCGCGCTTAGGTATCAAAAAATAGCTGAAATTCAGGGCTATTTTTTGATACCAGAGATAATGACGGTGTGGAGTGTTGCGTAGTCTAGCTTTGAACGAGTTTTCTCGACACTGATTTATGCTATAATGCTCGCTTGGGTATCAAAAAATAGCTGAAATTCAGGGCTATTTTTTGATACCAAAGACGCATTTTTTGAAAGTACGGGGCTTTGAAAAAAAATGAAATACTAAAAACTTTTGCGACTACGCGACTGTACGAGGGGGGTGGGGAACTATTACAGTATTTACGGTATGTAATAAAATGGGTAGCACAGATAACGTCAAGGATCCACTAGAGCTTCAAGATCAAGATCAAGGTCATCTACAGATAATTGAGAATTCGAGACTATTGGACTCTCTCAAAACTCGATTCCAAATGTGTTCCATAAAAAGCTTCTATAATTGATCTCAGTTAGCTTTAATTTATATCTAGATAGATACTTTATTGAGGACTTTGATATAAAGTGCGCTAGATTTAAGAATAAAACACATGAATTCATACACATAACACGAAAAGGGCCGATAAAAAGAAGCACGATATAATATATGTAAAATGTGGGTAGCACAGATAACGTCAAAGATCCACTAGAGCTTCAAGATCATCTACAGATAATTGAAAGGTTTCGAGACTATTGGACTCTCTCAAGGGTGGGGTACTATTACAGTATTTAATTTAACGGCTTAGGCTTAGGCTTAGGCCAATTTTGTGGCTTGAAAACTTTACTCAAAAGCATTACATAACAAAATCAATCTAAAATTTTAATGACTTTGCAAAGAAAAGAAGATTTCAAGAGTAAATGAATGAATTTCTCATTAGAATTCGAGTAAGATTGAGACTAAAAGATGAATGAAACGAGAAAAAACGACTGACGAGAAAGATTGCGAGTTTCTTGAAGAGCTTGAGAAAGAGATTTTAATTGGTTCAACCCAAAGCTAAGAAGCCATTGCAGTATGACTAATCAACATTATTTGCAAATTTAGTAACGAAGAATGAACTGATTCTGGTAGGAAACTGAAAAAAGTTTAGCTACAAAAGTTTGCACTACAAAAGACTCTGGCATCCTTGTCCACTGGAAAACTATTGTAAGAATATTTATTTTAAAACCAAAAAATCCCCGATCTAGAAATCATTCCCTGAGAAATGTCTCTTTAAAATCTCACTCGCTCTAATCGTTTTGATGATCCCAGTACGGTTCTCTTCAAAGAATGAATTTAGATTAAAACGCGTGGCTAGATGGAAAACTGAAAGATGAATGGCGAAGATGGCAAAGATGGAAAACTGAAAAATTTTCAACATGTTTCTTTTTGAATCCCGTATCTGGATTTAATCAAAGCTTTATCCCATTACTGACAGGGATCAAGGCTGTTCCTAGGCCTAAATTTCAAGCCCAGGCTAGCCCAAGACAAGCAAAATCCAGACTTTATTTGACAAAGCTTGCCTTGATCTGACTAGCCATAGCTTTTGACTCTTAAAGTCAGCTTCTATGTGCTTCTAACAAAAGTCCAAGAATAGTTAACTTCAAAAAGCACTTTGAACACTTTATGCTAACATAAACACATGCAAAACCACTATCCAAAATGACAAATATCTTTTTTAAACTAAAAACTTTTGATAAAACAAAAGAATTGTTTGGAAAAGGAATTATGGCTTTTCTGACTTCATTAGACATATAACAATATTCTTTAACAATAAAATAACAATGTTCCTTCAAAAACATTTCCGAATTTGTTTAAAACAGTAACAACAGAAAAGTAGGAAAAACCTAAAATCTCTCTTGAAAAATAAGAAATTTAGCTAATTGTCTGTTCGAAAATCTGTCGGGAGTCTACCCCGAGAGCTAAGTGTTACAATTTGCGGAAGATATGTGCTCGCCGTTTCGTGGCAACCTGAGAGTTTAGTTTTCGAATAAAATTTTCATTTACTTGCTAGTAAAATTAGTCATTACTCAGTAAACTAGTGAAAGTCATTTAGTTAGATTAGTCTAGTTAACGTTTTTGTTTAAAAAACTAATACCGTACTTTCTCTAATAGTAGTGCACCCTGAGCGTAGCCTAAGTTTCTTGAAATCTCGAGAACCGCTTATCAGAAAATGTAGCTGACGATGAGATCTAGTGGGGGGTTAGAGTGCTGAGCTTCTGCAAAAGCTTGGAAACTATAAAATAGTCACCAACTCGGCTCGGCTGGGTGCACTATTAGATATTTATTTTCTTTCACTGGCCTTTGTAAACTAATCGACGTTTTCGGTCAAATAACTAAGTGTAATCCTCTTTACACGTCGAGT